AAAAATGGGCCGAACATGAAATTTTGTGTATCGTGACAAGGTACAATGTGCAGTGTCACGGTACTTTATACCGTGCCACGTTGCTTTGTATCGTGGTTGCTCAAGCCTTTATCATAGTAAGTGATCAACTATACAATTTTGGTGAGTGGTTGGAATCTAGCATAAGATTAGCTAGAATTGGTTATGACTAAGAACGCCAACAAATTCAAGTCAAATTGTAATATTTGGTCTTCCGCTAGGCTACATTCTACAATATCAAGCTAATAATATGAAACACTATTTTTAATAAATCAAAAATCTTTGTTATAAACTATCCTAATAGTTCGTTGGAAAATATGATGTTTCATACCAAACCTATTATGACATACTACAAGAATAATAAAGTTTACTAACAACCTTATCTTGATTATTAAAGGATACTTAAATATTTATTTATGTAGGGAGTAATACCAATATAACTTGTTATTCAAACAGCTACAAAATGCTCACAAATTACCTTTGTTGAATGACAACATCATATACCTCAGCTCTGCTACATGTTAGAAATAGTCTAAAAAAGCAATTCCATTTTCGTGTATAGGCACCATTTCCCCAATCATCCCATCAACATCTTTAATAGATTAGTTAGTCCAACTACACAAGTCACCGCTTAAAAGTAGAGAGGAGAGGTAAAGATATCCCATACTCTTAAGCATAAGCAGTTGATCCGTCTCAATCTACTTGCTTCGAAACTCCTCCTACGTTTGTTTATTTAAAAAAATTTCTTTCTTCTCATGTTCGAATGGTAGGTAACACGGTAGCCCACCTTGTGGCAAGATTTGAGTCTTGTATTTAGAGCACCCTTAACCATGAACGAAGGAAATTATTTGAGTTACTATTTACATAAAATAATATTTAAAAAAACAAATGTGGGTGAACAGTGCTATGAATAAAAATGAACCGTTTGGAAAAGCAAACCATCTGTGAGAAATTGTTTGTCTGACAAACATTTGCTTTTGGTGATTGTTTTATACAAAAAGTCACGTGAACACTCCAAAAAATATATATAAAAAAAGGAATTGGTGACACTCGTGTCGCCATGCATGCCGTTGGATATGCAACGGTTATTAACGTTACAATTTTTGTAACGTTAATAACTTTTAACATATTATTTTAAAAGAAAAAAACTACCAATGGTCATATTTTTTCATTCTCTATAAATAGACACCCACATTGATGATATATTTAGACAACCTCAAAAATTACCTCTTTTTGAAACCATATTCTTAAAAAAAAAAAAAAAAAAACCAGTTTATATCTTAATTTAATTTCTTCACAGAACTAGCCAAAAAATTAAAAATTAAGGATCCAAACATTCCTAATTATGCTTTTAATAATCCAAAACCTCAAACAAACCGCAAATCCAAAAAAAATCCACAACAAAATCCACCCAATTATCCAATACATCAAGAAAATTGGGTTCAAACTCCCCTAATCACCCACAAAATTCTCCACAAGTAATCTCTCAAAGTTTCACCTAGAATTTTGAGGGAAATTATCAAAATTACCCACCAAGCTTCAACTATGCTCAACCAAGTCAATCAAACTTCTCAACTGAACCAATTTACCAACAAAATTACAGTGAATATGGTCCAAGAAGTGGTTATTCTCGTCAGTCAACACCCGGAGGAGGCGGGAGCACAAACGAAAACTATGCACTTGATGACGATGAAGAAGACAATGATGAGGAGGAGAAACTGGATGTTCCAGCCGACCTTCCAATCTGCACCTCATCCCACTCCTAAACCCACTGAAGGGCCCGATAAAAAATAGTTGGCATGATGCAGAGACAACCGCTTTAATCTCTACGTACATGAACACAACCAACGATCAAATTACCGGAACAAATCAAAAAATCAAATGTATTCTGGCAGAGGGTTCTAGCGTCCTACGGAGATGCAAGAAAAGCAAACCCGGAGGAGATCGCCATTAGAACCGTTGGTAGTCTGAAGAGACGGTGGTTAAGAATTGCTCCGGCTGTTGTCAAGTGGTGTGGTGGCATCGACAAGGCAAGGATACGTAGCTGGCAAAATGCTGATGATGTGATTGCTAAGGCCCACAAGATCCATAGAACCCATATGGGAAGTTCCAGTTCTATAAAGAGTGGCTCCAACTTAAGATGTGGGATAGATATCGCTCTATTCTAGAGCAAAAAGTTCATGTGTTAGGACGTGGTCGTCCATCAAAGAAGCCTGCGACGGTTGACACCCTGGGGAGCGGTAGCAGCGGAAGGAGATCAAGGGATGAAGATGGTGGATAAACATCAAATACACCAAAAAGTGGAGAAGTTTTTGTTGATGAGTTTGTACCATGTCCTGATGGGTGCGAAGAAGGCTAAGTCGAGGTTGAAGGGCAAGGAAGTAAAAACTCAGGCACTTAATACTTTCAAATCATTTGGTGAGAAACTTAAAATGTACGACGAGATGAGGGATAAGGTCATTGATAGAGATTTGGAGAGGCTCGAGTTGGAGAAGAGGAAAGAAGCTAGAAAACAAAAGCAAATTAAGCCAGAGGAGAGAAACATTCAGATGCAACAATATAAAATGAATTGGGACATGCTCCAACAATTGCTTGCCAAAGAAGTTCGTGCCCCGTGGGAAGAATACCTTAGCAAATTTAGGGCATTTTAATGTTATGTTATGGAATAGGTTGCATTGTGTTAGTGCTGTTTTAAGTTTTTTTTTCCATTCAATGTATTCAGTTTCATGTTGGGTTAGTTGTGTTATGTTTAGTTTAATGTGTCTGTCCTTCCAATCGTTATTGTATGTGTAATGAATAGTATTGCAACCATGTAATAAAATTTTAAATATTTGTCGTTTTATGTGTGAAACTTTGTTCACGTGATTTGTTAAAGTCATTTTCAACAGCTTACCATACTACTACCTTTTGAAAATCCAATAGTAAATACTTTTCAGAATCCACTTGATTTGATGACTGTATTTGAATACTTGTCCAGAGTCTATTAATACTTTTCAGAGTCAAAGTAAATACTTTTCAGAATCCATTTATTATATGTGATGGCTTCCATGTGATGACTTTTCAGAATTCATTGAGTTGTCAAATCTACATAAAATTGTATTTAATTTACATGTGATGCACTTGTGCATTCATATCATTGATCATTTTTATATAAGTACAAAATACGCTTACGAAAGTGCAATCTTTCTTCATCAAAACTATAATCTTATTATGAAACTAACAACTTTTACTCTTTTATATAACAAACGAAGAAAATAGATTCCTACAAAATTGATATATATGCTCCACTGATAGCTCAGATGAGGATAGAAAGGAAGCGTTAGCTCGAGAAGAGAGGGAAATAGATGACATGATTGACACATGCACCTCCACTTACCTCCCAATCCTAGCCTCAATGGCAACCCCTCCACCACGGTGCTCGCGCAAATTTGTTCCTCGCGGTGATAGACGACGTGAAGAAGGTCATGTGCAGTTGTACAGTGATTACTTTGCAGAAGTTCCAGTCTACCCAAGTGACCTTTTCCGACGTAGATTCTGAATGCACAAGCATGTCTTTGAACGTGTTATGTATGCAGTAACAGAAAATGATATATGGTTCCAACAAAGGAGAGATGCTACTGGCCGTCTAGGCTTGTCTCCACTACAAAAGTGCACTACAGTAATTTAGCAGCTGTCTTACGGTTTAGCCGCCGACGCTTGTGACAAGTACATAGGAATAAGCAAAAGTACTGCGAAGTTGGCATTAGAAAAGTTTACCGAAGGTGTCATTAACCAATTCGGTGAGCAGTACTTGAGACGACCAAATGGTCATGATATGGAAAGGCTGCTACAAATCGAAGAGGAGCGTGGATTTCCAAGCATGATCGGAGGCATTGATTGTATGCACTGGGAGTGGAAAAATTGTCCAACGACATGGAAAGGACAGTATCAAGGCAGAAAAGGGGTAGCCACTCTTATATATTAGAGGTTGTTGTTGATCGAGACTTGTGGGTTTGACATTCTTTCTTCGGGATGTCGGGTTCTTACAATGACTTAAATGTACACCGATCTCCTGTATTTGCAGATGAGTTGGAGGGGCGTACTCCTCTTGTGAGATTTGTTGTTAATGGTCATTAATACAACAAGGGATATTACCTTACTGACGATATTTATCCCAAGTGGGCTACTTTTGTGAAGTCTATCACTAGTCCACAGACTCAGAAACATAATTTTTTTGCACAACATCAAGAAGCAGCAAGGAAAGATGTTGAGCGAGCTTTTGGAGTTCTACAATCTCGATTCGCTATAATTCGAAAACCGTCTCTTGCTTGGGATGTTCAAATACTTCACAAGATTATGTTATCGTGCATCATATTGCACAACATGATCGTTGAAGATGAACGAGATACATATTTGAACAACTTTGACACGTTTCACTTCATTGACAACCAAAGGGTTCCAACGAGGATGCTTTCGAGTATCGTAATGAGCGTGTGGTAGACATCAATATGTATTTGCAACGAAGCCAGAGATTGAGATCAACAAGCTCACTTGCAATTAAAACACGATTTGGTTGAGCACATTTGGAAGAAATTTAGGCGTACCAAGAACAATAACAATAACAATTAGATTTCAATTCTGTTATTAAGTATGTGTTATTTCTAATGCACTTGGGTGGTTTTTTTTTTTTTTTTTTTTTTTTTTTTTTTTTTTTTTTTTTTCAAATTTGCTATTCATAAAAAAAATTTGTATTTCGCATTTACAAAGTAATTAATAACGCTAATTATGCTAATCGTAGACAATTAACAACGCTAATTACGATAATTTTAGCTAATTTTGCACGCAAATAATGCTAATCGTAATTTTTTAATACTAAAGCGTAACTAATTACGGTAATAACAATAAATTACACATCAAATGAGATTAATATTATTGATTATGTATGTATTTTAATTTTTAGTAAAAAGATAAATTGAAGTGGGGTAGGTTAGCATGAACAATATTATTTTGGTTCATGGTTAAGAGGAGAATGTTGGAAATTATTTGTTTCGTTTATATATATATATATGAGAGAGAAAGTATTTTTTTTATGTGAATAGTAACATGTTTTTTACATGTTCATGAATAAGGGTGCTCTTAGCAGATTCTAATTTATTACCCTTATTTAATCAATTTACTGTAGAAAAAGTCAAGATTGAAGAGATGGTAAGAAAAAAAAAAAAAAAAACAGTAAAAATAACAATAAACAAAAATCCATTTTGTCCTAAGACGATTCCTTCCTTAGTCTGCTACTCAATCGTTCGTGTCGAGGCTTCCTTGCTTCTCTTCTCTTCTCATCTTCTTTTACCATTTTTTCTCTCTCCTCTTGCCGTCGTCGTATTATAGCAGAAAAACAGAGCACAAAACAAACCCACCTCTAACACAAAAAGAATTTCTTCTCTTTCTCTCTCCTCCATTTTCTCTCTCTTCAATTTTTTCTCAGATTTCCGAAACTTCTAATATCTGATCTTCTTCCACCCCTTCACTTCCCCCAATTTCTCTCTCCTCCAGGTTTGCTTCTTCTTCCCACTTTTTTATTCTCTTTTTTCATTTTTGTTTTTAGTTTATCACCATTTTTCTTACTTTTTTTGAAGGGTTTTTTTTTTTTTTTTTTTTTTTTTTTTTTTTTTGTGGGTGAATTTTCGAGTTATACTTCTTAAAAATGAAAATTATTCTTCTACCTTTGTTTTCAATTCTGGGTATTTTTTTTTAATTTTTATTTTATTGTGTTTTAAGCTATCTCCAAGTTTGATTTGGCGTGTTTTTGATTTTATATACGTTTTCTTGTAATTTGTTTTGATTCTTGATTTTTTTGTTTGCAGGGATGCCATCTGAGTTGAGTTTGATAGTGAATTCAGTTTTTCGAGTTGAAAAACAATATAAAAATGTTGGATTTTATAGCATAAGATTTAGGGTTTTTGGATTAGTTTAATTGAAGTGATTTCGTTGTTTGTTGGTGAGAAATTAAAGGGAATAAACTGTGATTTTGTTTCCAATTTAGTTTTGGGTTGATGGGGAATAAGCTGGGGAAGAGGCGACAGGTAGTGGATGAGAAGTATACAAGGCCTCAAGGGTTGTATCAGATCAAAGATGTTGATTATAAGAAGCTTAGGAAGCTTATACTCGAATCGAAGCTTGCCCCGTGCTATCCCGGAGGCGACGAGTGCGATTGCGGCATGTTTGAAGAATGCCCCATCTGTTTTTTGGTTTGTATCGTTTCTACTTTGGTCATTTGAATTAATATGTTGTCTGTGTGTGTTTTTTGGGTTCCATATGGTTATTGCAAGGCCGGAATTTCGGGAGGAGGGGGGGGGCAGGATGATATGCTTAATCATGTTATATTTTATGTATTTCTGTTAGGTATTTGTTGGTTTCATATGCTTGATTAGTTGTGAGCTTGGTTTGCTCGAACTCGGGTACCCATGTTCCAGGGTCCGACTTGGCTATTTTGTGAAAATTGTCCATGATTTTGAACTAACATGAAGTGTCTAAGTGTCATAAACACGTCCGAATGTCAAGGTTGTGAGGCTTGAATATTCTATTTTTGGAGGTCACGAATTCAGCATCGATTTTGATAGTGTTATTAGATCAGGAGCAATTGCTTGTTGTCTAGAATGCAATGCTGTTAGGCTATTATAAAAGGAATAGTGTTGATGTAGACTGTCTACAGCCCTTGATCTCTATATTCTCATGTATTGATTTGTTTTTGAAATAAGGGAAATTTGTTTAATTTAATTCGTGGAAATTTTACCCTTGCTTTTCCCCCATTTCTTAAGGATTTTAGACTGATTATAGACATTTCTAAGTAAACTGTTTTGTCCTTGCAGTATTATCCTACTCTCAACCGGTCCAGATGTTGTATGAAAAGCATATGTACAGGTACCTGTAAATAAAGTCTTTATATGCTCTATTTTTGTATCAATAAATGGAAGTTGGTGGTTAGGATATCAAATGTATTTGGCTTATCTGTCTCATTTGTTGGCAGAGTGTTTTCTACAGATGAAGAATCCAAATTCAACTCGACCTACCCAGTATCCTTCTTTATGATTTCCCCTATTCTATTATGTTTGTAATGTTAAATTCTTTGCATAGGATTGGATTTTCTAATTGGCTTGATCAGGCTGAGACACTTGGCTTCCCTTTAACTTGTATATAGATGTCCGTTCTGTAAAACTTCAAATTATGCTGTGGAGTATAGGGGAGGAAAGTCAAAGGAGGAGAGGGGAATGGAGCAAATAGTAAGACATGCTTTTCGTATTCTTTTCTCATTTTACTGGGATTGGTGCTTATAGTATTGCCAATTGCTAGTTGGTTTTGAAGACAGGCGCTTATGTTTCTGTTGGACACTTTAACAGGAAGAACAGAAGGTTATTGAAGCCAAGATTCGGATGCGGCAGCAGCAGATCGAAGAGGAAAGACAACATGGAAAAGAAGAAACAAGCCCTTCAGATAGAGAGCCTCAGACAGAAAATATTGGTTGTAGTACATCTGGTGGTATAGAGTGTGAAGAAACAGCCCCTTCTCAAGATTCAAGTGGTACACAAATACTCAGACAACCCCAGTATACCAGACATGGCAGGTGCGTCATTGACTGACATCTTAAATTTGGGGCACTGTGTTTTAGCTAGTTATATGAATACCTGTGATAATTTTTCCTGATGTTCTGAAGTCCGAAATGGTTATATGTTTTTCAATTATATCTCCAGTAAAGGATTTACATATGTAGGTATTAAATTGAAATAATTGGCCGCAACAACACCAACTATGATAAGGTGCGTGTAGCCTCACAACCTTTTAAGGGTGCGGTCCACATCACAAACTATATAATTGGGTGCAGATATTAGCATAAATGACACTAATTAACTAAGGTTCCATGGAAAAAAGTGGAATCTTCATTATTTTGTTATTGTTTAAACATATTTTAAACTTACATGATTTTCCATCATGCGTGACTAAATTAGCCTTCCCTTTTTTTTGTTTTTTTTTTTCATTTAAGCATTTCTTATCCTCCACCATTTAAGTGGATTCCTTAAAAAAAATAAAATAAAAAAATTGTGCTATTATTTTCCTTTGTTTGCTTCTTCAATTACTTTTTTCTAATATCGATCTCACATGATTGACTTAGTTTCCTTTTCCTTTCCACTTAGTCAAATACTAAATTGATAAATAAATAAAAATCATTCGAAAACCTTTATTCTACCGGATACATAAGTAACTTTCTAATACCAAGCCCACAAATTCTCTAAAAAGGCACGTGTACGTTAATTTATTATAAAACGGGTTAAAGTTATGTTCAAAGTATTTAAAGTTACCCTTTATACTACAAAAGTTATTATTTTTCTAATAATAAATTTTATCTTACAAAAAACTTATAATTTATTAGATTAATCATATTAGCCTTTATATTATGTAATCATAAATCTATATGAAATTACACATTAAAATAAAATTCTAATCAATGACAAACTAAAAGTTACCCTTTAAGAGGTTAAAGTTTTTTAATCAAGTTAAAGTTACCCTCAAACTAACCGCCTTACAATAATAAAATTAACGTATACCCGCCTTACGGAGGACTTATTGTACCAAGCCCCAAAAAATGATTCAAAATACTTAATTCCAACAACAGTTTTAGAATTGGATTTTAGGATATGCCAAATTGATTTTCTGGTTTTTGATGTACAACACTTTAATTGTGGAGGTTGAGAGAGAATAATTTTAAGGGAAAAAATTAATTATAATGGAAGAGGAAACTAAGTCAATCACATGAGATGTAAAAGAAAGTAATTGAAGAAACAAATGATTGAATATAATGGTGAAAACTTTTTGAAATAATTCAATTTAATGGTGGAAATTGAATAGTGTTTAAAGCAAAACAATTAATCAATTAATGGAAGAGAAGACTACTTAGTTACTTTTATAATAAAAAATAAAGTAGAATGGAATTAAACAAAAATATATATAAATAAAATAGCATTAAAAATATTTAAGATTCCACTTTCGGAAGAAATCTAAGTTATGCCAATGTCATTTATGTTGTTATGTGCACCCAAGTGCATAGTTTGTGATGTTGAGTGCACCCTCGAAAGGTTGTGCTGCTACACACATCTTCTTTATAGTTGGTGGTGTTGCGGCTAATTTTTCCTTAAATTTGCTATAAGAAAAAATCTTGCTGCCTTCTTTCTTGGCTTTCTTCTCTATTGCCGATACTTTCTTATAATTTTTCTGTGATGCAGTTTGGAATGTAATAAGGAATACTTAGGAAAGTCTATCTAACATCTCTAAGCCTTTCTTATCCAAAGAGGACAAAGAAAAATCAATTTTTTTTTTTTGGTAGTTTCTAGGTGAGATTCCTGGTTTAATCTAAATGCCTGTTGGTTATATTTATATAGCAGCATAAATTCAGCTGAGTGGAATGTTATTGGTGGTAATATGCGGTAAGATTTTATGTATTAGAAAGTGGCTGACCATTGAATCTCTCATCTGTTAGGAATCATTTGCATCTGTCACATGCCTTACAACTAGGGCTTGCAATCCCTGACCCGATAACCCGACCCAAAGTTACCAGAGAAACCCGAACCCGACCCGACCAACCCAAATTCGACCCGGTTTGACCTAAATTTCATATTTCGTAATAATATTCAGTTTTACACTATTTTTGATAGTTTTTAAGCACAACCTGAAATCGACCCGAAATCTGACCCAAATCCGACTTGCTGATCCGAATTGCCACCCGGAAGGGGGAAATTATTGCGAAAATGCTCCTAACTCAATCACACATATAATTTGAAATGGACGAAAAGTGGATAATCCAATCCCATCGAGATGCTTTCCTGATCTTTTGTTATTTTGTTTTGAATAAGTTTTTTTTAATGGTGCCAATTCTGTCAAAGGATGTTAAATATAGACAAAATATTACATATGTATTTTCTAATATGTCTATAAATTCATATAGGATGCTCCTATATGATTTTCTTGTTACAATTTGATGACGGTTTCGGAATGGCAGTCACCTGTTATTTTTGTAGCTTTATCATTGCTACTGTTACCAGAGAAACTGATATGGTGTCATGGGAAAGAATAAGAATTCAGCTGCTACTATTTTTTGAGCGATTTGAGGACTAGGCGATAATAAGGAAGGTTGTTCAGGGATAGTATAACAAAATTCCATGGAAGCATAAATTGCATGAGATGCTATGCCTTTGCGTATGAAGAGTGGAGTGATCCTGCATAAGCATTTGCAATTTATGCTGAGGGAAGGAATAAAACATTTGTCTGGCAAGTTACCTTGACCAAAATTATCCCATTTGCCAAGATATTGATGATAATGGTGATAAAGAAGTCTTATCGTCCTTAAGTACTCATACTTGCAACAAGTGGAGCAAAATAAGTTGGGACAAGTGTAATTCATAAAGAGAACTGAGCTTCTTCATGAGCAACTGTCCAAATTTTGGTTTCAAATTTTCTCCAATTATTTACTTCACTAATTTGAGTATTAATGAAATGTTTGTCAGGATTGATTTCCATTTCAGAGTTCCTTTGGTATTTACTTTCTTATCATGGGAACCTGTCCTTATATTCCTAATTGTGAACTTTTCTTTCTGACTTATCTCTGTTAACATACACTTATAATTTTCTCAATGCGTGCCATTTAAGAGTGGAATAAATAATTGGTAATAATATTTGACTTGGATTGTAGAAGGTCTCTGTTCCTTGCTGAAATAAAATGTGTATCATGTATCTGGATATAAAATTACTGTTTCTTTGTAGTAATAGTTAGGTAATATGAAATATTGAAATATAATCTATTAGCATGATACCTCCGAAAATTGAGAGATCTCATATGTATGATTGTACAAAGGTGTGCAAGTGAACACTGTTGGTTTTGGACTCATTCATAGTTAGTAATCTATGTCATTTTCCTATCAAGAAATACTTGAAGTAGAATATGCTTGAATTGGACTTTGATAGTCGATCAGGATGTGTAGTTCAGTTTTTAGGTTGTTCAAGTTTTCTGCCATGATATCTTTAACCTTTTATAATAGACTATCTTTCTCTTGTTAAATGTGTGATGTTGGCCTTACGGTGGGCTCCATGAAAAGTTTTTAAATATCTGCTCAATCACTTGTCAAGCGCAAAAATGTCAAATTATGTATTTGTAATTCTATTTTCAATTCTTATTTAGAGCTGGTGATTCATTTCCTTTTCTTCTTTTTAAGTTATTATGACAGCTTGCCTACGAAGATTCATGGACTTTCTATGACTTGATTATAGGATAATGACAATGTGTGGAATTTGTCTTGGTAAATGGACATCTATAGTAGGCTTGGGTACTGACTACAGAATTGGCATACAGACCTCAATAGTAGGCATGGATCTGAAAAGTCTTATGACTGTTTAACTTGCTGCGACCAATAGCCTTTGGATCAATATTTAAGGAGAGGAGAGAGAAAGTGTAGTTGGTGCACATGGTTTACTTTATCACTGTGAGCACTGTATTGTTGTCCCCACATCCACTTTATAAAAGTAACATAAGTGAATCTGACTACCAAAAGCTTACCAAGTATAGTATGGTTAAAGTAATATGACATTTCTGTTTTAGGAATCTTAGTTTAGTAAATAAAATGGAGCAAGTATTTAATTGTTTTAAATTTCCTAAGTAGATTTATAATAATAGATATGGACCAAGGAGAAAGTAGATTAGTATTAGGGTCATCTTGGATTTCTAGTATGTGTCCTATCAAGCTGTCTCTACTCTCTAGTCATACTAAACTATGTTTTTGTTACCTGGATCCTCAAAGCTCTTTTTTTTGTTGGGGGGGGGGGGGGGGAGGGTGTTTAAAATTTTGGATGTTGTTTGATCTTCATTGTGATTATTAGACTAAAGCCACCACATGCCTCTGTAGATATGTTACCCAAACACGGTGTATTTGTCAGAGTACCTACGTAAATATGACCTTGTACGAATTCAGTTATGTTTGTTTTTTTTGGGCAAGGGGGATGGGGGTTAAAGTTGATATGCTGTTTGATCCTCATTATTATTATTGGATAAAACTAAACCCTCCACATCCCTCTGTAGATATTTTACCCAAACATGGTGTATTTGTCAGTGTACCAGCATGAATTCAGTTATGTCGTAAGGGTTGGGTACGATAATCAGAGATCAGTGATGGGGGAGGGAGATCTGGGTGAAAATTGGTTTTCAAGATTTTCATAGAATTGTTAAATTGAAAATTTTTAAGATCTAGGATTTGAAAGAAAACGCACGGATTTGTCAATTGATGATGAAGGTCCACCATAGATGTAAGAAGACTTTTGGGCTTTTGTTTTTAAGGAGAGAGTGGAGAGGCCAGTCTATATTGATGGCCAGAGCCCTGGATCTGTTTGACTACTCCAGCAGTGGTCGTACATAATCCATATGTTTTGCTCAATGCTTTTCGATCCTTGGTGCGTTGGCTGGACTTATTTTCTCTCCTTTTCAGTTTTTGTTTTACTCCTGAGCTTGCCAGGATCTGAAGTTATGATTTCAGATTAGTGACTTTGTTATTTGGGTGGTAGGTAATTAGGCATATGTATGTGTGGAAACGTACATACATATACCTAAACCTAATTACCTGCATGGAATTTGATAGGCCGTTAATACATGGAAATATTGTTATATATTAGTAAAAAAATTATGGTCAAAGCTGATCTATGAATATTGCAAAAAGTCTTTTTTTTTTTTTTTTTTTTTTTTTTTTCTTTTTTTATTAATTCTTGTGTTCCCTTAAGCGCAAATACTCACTCCCTCCCCCCCCCCCCCCCCCCCCCCCCCCAAAAAAAAAAAAAACTTAGATATGGTGCTACTCTGACATGATTTATCTGACAATTGCTATTTACAATATGGGCTCCAGCCACACCCATTCAATAGGATTTCCTTTGCCATGTATCCATTAACATCATTGTTTATTAGTTTTTCTTCTGTACTGCTTTCTTGTTTGTTGTGGGGACTTTATAGCACTTTATTAGAACATCATAATTTGAATAGCAGTTATTGCTTGGAATCTGTTGAAAACCACTAGTTAACTCTCATTCAGGTCTTTTTCTTCTTCGTGGTGCTGTCAACTCCATTGTGCCATTATTTAGGGTACCTGTCTCAAGTTTAGAACTTTTATTACTTTGCTTATTCGCAAATAGGGGTTTAGTTTGTGTTCTTGAATCTTACTTTCTTTAGAGTAATATTGTGGTAGAGTTGGGATGTTTTTCCAGTTTGCTTCTGCTTAAAAATTGATTCAGTATCAATATTCAACTATTCTAGCCTTATAAATCTTGCTAATATGCTGTTCTTGATGCAGGGATGATGAATTTGACCTGGATCTTGAAGATATTATGGTTATGGAAGCTATCTGGCTTTCTATACAGGTAATAATTGAACCTTCAAGTATTAAGAAATGGATGCGATAAATCTAATATTTTCGTCTTCTTATATACATTAAGAAATGGATGCAATAATCTAATATATTCGTCTTCTTATATACATTGAAGCCCATCTATCAAATTTTACAGGAATAATTCCACCTTTTAAGATTCATATTGAAAGCACACAAAATCTCAAAATAAAAAATCTGATTCACTGAATTTTTTTTAAAAAGAATCAGATTTCCTAATTTTCTCAAAGGTAAAATGTAAAACAGTGGCATTATCTAAATAATGTCAGTAGCTCTTTGTCGAGGGGTTCTCCCTTGGTGGACTCTAGGTAAACTTTCAGTTGGAACTTTTATACATAGGATTATTTTTGCTCATTTTGATATGTGACTATTTTTTTTATCATTCATATGAATATATGATTGAAAAAGGTTATTTCACTTGCTGAATCAGTAATTTTTGCCTCAGAAAGGGTTATTGATGTGCTTAGTTATCTCTATGCTCTGTGAATTTTTAGAAATGACTATATTTACATGTCTTGGGAGAAGACTCAAGAGTATTATTGAAATTTAGATGAATTCTTCAGTATATAAAACTTGGAAGTTCCTGGACTTATCGTTCAACAAAATTATGCATGATTAGTCTCTCTCTCTCTCTCTCTCTCTCTCTCTCTCTCTCTCTCTCTCTCTGTGCGTTTGCGTGTGTATCTATGTGCGTGTGTGTGCATGGCTTTGACTTTAGAGCCTGATACACACACAGACACAAACACAAGTGAAAATTGAAACGTTGCTGCCTTTTCTCTCAACTGAAATGCCTTGGGGTCCTTAACAGCACTTAAGTGATCATTACCTGGCTGCTCACACGAGGCTTTGAGAAAAGGGGTTAGATTTGTGGTGTCTTATCCTTTAACAATAATGTGCTACTCTTGTTGGACTGTTGACCTGTATCTCCTAGCACCCTCTAACAATCCAACAAGAGTAGCACATTATTGTTGAAGAGGGTGCTAGGAGATTCAGTGAGACTGATTCTTTTTCAATGTAAAAGCTTATAATCTTTGTAGTACTTAATCCTGATCCCTAAAATAGTACTCGATTGATTCGAAGAACATTGTTTGTTTATCTTCACACCTGCTGATCTTTGTCTTCTATACTGTCTGCCTTTTCCTCATGTTATTCTAGGAGAATGGAAGAGCAGAATATTCACCTTCTAATGATGCTGTGCCTGAGCAATATACAGTTGAAGATCGCCACATGTCACCAGTGACAGCACCAGTGGCTGGATCATCGTCATCCCCTTCTGGTGGTCTTGCTTGTGCAATTGCAGCCCTTGCTGAGCGCCAACAATCTACCGGAGAATCTTCCACCAATTATAGTGAACCTGTATCACGGTTAGACATGATTCCGAGCAGTAGCAGGAGTTCGAAGAGGATGAAGAAGACTCAGAGAAGACATGCAGAAAGCTCTTCTAATAAGGAAATTTGTAATTCAAGGATGATAGCTGAAGGGTGTGAGGTTGGTCCTGCATTAGAGGTAACAGAAGTGGGGACTAGCTATGTTAACTCAGATGACTCTGAAGGTGAGGCTATTATACTGCCACCACCACCACCTCCGCCACTAATGCATCATAGGTGGAACTCCAAGAGGGGAAAAAGTATCCAAAGAAAGTACTCTTTTGGGAGAGCCTCATCCAAGAATTTGCATGGTCGAAGGATGGTAGCAGAAGAGTGGGAGTTTGACCGTGGCTCAGAGGTTGCTGAGGCAGGGACCACTTATGCTAGCTCTGATGAGTCGAATGAGGACATTCAAGTCGCTTCACTGCCACTACCACCATCACCTCTGCCTCCATATGTTGTTGGAACGAGCAGTGGCTGTTCAGATGGGGAAGAAGATCATGTTGAGTACCTACTCCCTCCACCACCACCATATGTTACAGATAGTGGCTTCCAGTCTTCGATCCCAGCCCCCATAGTTCCAGAGAGTTTCGAGGAACAGATGATGTTGGCCATGGCAGTTTCGCTAGCTGAGGCTCGAGCTAGGACTAGTGCTCAGGGAGTTGCATGGCACTAGGTTTAGTAATCATGATTGTATCCTGTTATCTCTCCACTCCCCATCTCTGCCCTGGCTGTCCTGCTTCCATCAACAAAAATGCAAAAAAAAAAACAAAAAAAAAAAGGCTCATTATCCTCCCCCTTTTAATCTTCACACACGTATGTATTAGGAAAACTGAAGAGCAGATTTCAACAAGTGATAGGTTTGTTGGGTTTTATGGTATTTGAAATGATTACTGTGCCCCATGATTCTCCCCCTCCCCCTTTTCTTTTTCTTTTCTTTGCAGTTAATAAATGATGTTTAAGTTGTTTTCGTGGTGTATGATTGATTGTTAAGGCAATCTGGTCTTGCAATGTAGACCTGGCTAAGATTTTTGTGTCTCAACTCTCAAGCAAGCTTCTGATGGTAATAGGCTCTTGGAATGATCCCGTGCTAGGCTTAATTTGAAGTGTCAGTAACTATGAGAAATTCTCTGTTTTTTTTCTTTGGCAAATGTTAAGTCAGGTGGTGGTGTTAACATGAATCAACTCGTGAATATTTACGAATACTACTTGAACCAGGTGCAAGTTAATAAAGATTGTCATGAAGGCCCCGTTTGGTTTGATACTTTGATGTAATACTTTTCCATGAAAAATTTATATTCAAGGAAAAGTACCATTGCAAATTAGTTTTCCTTTGGTTGCATATAAGAAAAGTTAAAGAAAAATAAAAAATAGGAGTGAAAATGTGTGGATGGATGAAAGAAAAGTTAAAATAGGTAAGGAGGAAATTGTGGCTTTTCTTGTTTTATAAAGTAAAAGAAAATGTTTTCCATCAAGGTTGCAAATTTCCACCATTAGGAATATTATTTTCCCCACCTTCACAAATCAAACAAAGAAAAATGAAAAAAAAAATAGAAATTTATTTTTCATGTAAACAATTTACATCAAACCAAACGGGGCCAAAGTGAAAAATAATTGTTACTAGATAAGGTGCAAGTACAAATGGCACTATAGCATTAGTCGTTCAAAGAAATGAAAACTTCTTTGAAGAAAAGGATCGGTGATCTGGTGTATATATTGAGACGACTAAATAAGTACTCTTTATTTTATAAATAAGTGTAACATTTATTGATACCGTGATACGTATGCCAATGCACAACGAACTTTGACCAATCTTATATAGTTTTTTAGTTACAAAAAAATAATTTCTACGTTTTTTGAAATTGCACCATTTGCCTTTTTGGAAAGTTGCATATTAATTGCACCAGTTCTTTAGTTGATATGCTTTATTCACTTGTCATTTGTGTTCATTCGCCAAAAACCCTAACTACCCTTGTAAATACCCCGTATTTGATAACTACAATTGTTACCCTGTTGAGAAAATAGGTCCAATGTGAATGCCCAATAAGTTGATTTGATTATACTATGCTCAAATACATACAAAAGCTTGTGAACTCATATGTCTACATATGAGAAATTATTGTACTATACCAACAGACTTCTAATACTCCCCCTCAAGTTGGAGCATGTAAATCACAAATGCCAAACTTGCGTAACAGAAAACCAAACTGTTGTCGTCCAAGAGCCTTCGTAATAAATATCTACCAACCGATGATTCGTCGGAAGATAAGAGGTAGAAATATTACCTTTCAACAAGTCATCACGAACAAATTGACAATTCACCTCAATATGCTTCGTACGATCATGAAACACCGGGGTTTCAGCGATGTGCAAAGATGACTGACTATCACAGAACAATTGCATAGACTTTGAATGACCAACCCTGAGAGAAAGCAACAACGCTTTCAACCACTTGAACTCACAAGTAGCAACTGCCATAGAACGATATTCGACTTCGGCCGAAGAGCAAGATATGGTAGGTTGTTTCTTAGTCTCTAGGAAACAGGCGAACGACCTAGAAAGACAAGATAACTTGTCAAAGAACGCTGAGTCAATGGACACACGGCCCAATCACTATCATAAAAAGCCGTCGATCACAAATCTTTCATAGGTCGTACCTAGAGGTGTCAATTCGGGTAAATGGGTCGGGTTAGAGTGGTTCAAGTCAACTCAGGTCTGGTCAAATCGGGTTATTGTCGTAACCTATGCGGGTCGGGTTCGGGTTGGGTCATGCTTGATTTGGGTCACATCGGGTCATACATCTTATCCGGTTTGGGTCAATTTTAGGTCGGGTCAATAACAGGTTGGGTTACATTCGGGTCGAGTGAATAAAATATCACTCATCAACAAAGTAGAAACAACATAACCAAACTTCTTAGAATCCAAACCAATACAAAACTGATGTAACATTTCAGTTTCATGCATTCTAGCAAACTCTTTCGCAACGAAAAAAGTACAAGCAGGCAATTTCAAATAACTAGACAACAAGTTTTGCAACTTGTTCAATTCACCATAATAAACAGCAACAGAACGACCGCTTTGTTTAAAGTCAGCAATAGCATGTTTAATTTCAAGAATACGGGATCCATTACCAAGAGAATAACGATCACGTAAATCATCCCACAATATTTTAGCATCATCAAGAATAATAACAGTAGAACGAATACTAGCATCAAGAGTATTATAAATCCATGCAACAAATTTAGAGTTAACAATACCCCACTAATGATAATACGGAGATTTGGCATTTGGCCTTGTGATCGTGCCATCAACAAAGCTAAGTTTGCTCTTGGAACAAAGATTGTTGCAGATAGGGGTGTCCATTCGGTTTCGGTTTGGATTTAGTCTAAATCCGTCCAATTCGAAATATAATTCGGTTTTCAATTTTCCAACTCGATCCAATCCGAATTTATCTCCCAATCCAGTTCGATCCAATCCGAATTAAAATTCGGTTATTTGGATTCGATCCGAAAATCCGAATTATATTACATCATTTTTTAGCGCCTAATACGATTATAAAAATAAAGCTTTAATATAAATACATGTCTTCAAAATCATGATTAAAATAAATATTTCAACATCAAGTCATTAATTAATTAATACAAAGTCTCCCTAATTTATTTTATATAGTATTAAGTATTTGAGCTAAACTTCAAAAAATAAAGAAATTCATCTTTATACAAGCTTAATTTTACAATTCGGTTTTTGGTTTTGGTTGGATCCAATTAGGGTCAATCCGATCCAATTCGAAAATCCGAATTTTCGATAAATCTCAATCCAATCCGCTCCGATTTAAAGTCGGATCCGATCCAAATTGATTATTCGGTTGGATTGGATTGGATTTCGCTTTTATTCCGAATTTTGGACACTCCTAGTTGCGGATAGACCGAGACCACTCTTCATAGTTGTCGATTAAGCAACACGGGACAAATGATCAATTGAGACCCTTCACTAGGGTTTAAATAGTAATCGATCAACTGTTTATACTTCGATCCAGGTTTCTCACCCATCGCAACGTAGTGGACAAATCACAAGCAACACAACCCCAAAAAAAAAAAAACACCACACGTACGCAAGAAGCAGCACCACTGCCTACCTCACAAACACCACAATTTGCTGCACACCACACTCGCAGCAACACACCACATACTGCACACCATACTTGCAGCAACACATACACTTCACACACAACACACATAAGCCAGCACTACAGGTCCCCTAATGCACCCCACCGTACACCAAACAATAACACATGGACTTAACACAACGACCTTGCAACACCTCGCAGCGCACACGACACCTCACTAGCGCACCACAGACTTAATAGTGCACCACACACCAAAACTCAACCAATCAAGTGCGACACCACACTCGAACAACCAAAACAAAAATTAAGGATGAAAACCCTAATTTCGGCTTCAACTTAAATTTTTGTGGAGTAAAGAATAAAAGTGAAGCCGTAATCTCTCAAATGCAGAAAACAATAAAAATAATATGATGAACAAACCAAGATCGAAATAAAAAACTCTAGAAATTAGAAAAGGTGTGATACCATGTTAAATTCAAGAGAGATTGGAGAAAACGACTTAGGTTGTATTGAATAATCACCACGATATAAATAGTACAGTACAAGGAAACCTAACTAAAACTCCTAAAAGATATACATCACAAATATAACAATTATACAATGATATTAACATAAATCAACCGACTTCTAATAATATATTTGAAGTCGTGTAAATGTAAATTTTTCAATTCATCAATATATTCACCCACTTCTCCAGTTAAAATTTCTCATATTTCTCAACATGTTATCAGTATCCGTTTTTAATCAGGTATATTTATACCTACTTCTTAAAATTGTAATTTATTTTTATTTTTTTTACAAATTATTGTAAAAACTTTGTCTAGCACTATCTTTTGACGAATTTCGTCTACTTTTATTGTTTGTGCGGCCCACATTTTCGTTGCCTTCCCGATATACTTAAATTAAATTTTCTGCCTCATCCCCCATTCTCATTCCATTTTCTTCACCTTTCACCATCTTACTATTCCTTTTTTGACTATTTTAACACCAGTTGATTTGTTTTAACCCTTTTGCCATTCCATTATTTCTTCATCAATCCATTTGAAAGTTTTTATCCCTTTCTACTAGATGCAGTATTATAGCATTTACAATTAAAAAAGCCATTGTATTGGACATTCTACTTCTGATAATCGGATCAAAATTAGCAAAAAGAAACATTGAATTGAAACACTAAATCCTCTAAATACAAAATTGTTTAGGGTAAAAATTTCCACTTAGACCAATGAGAGCCTGACACGTGGCTAAACAACTCAGCCTTGTTACGCTGATCAGTGTTGGACATGTGGTAGCCAGGTCAGACCACTCAAAAAGGGTGGGCCAAGAATTCGTTCTACTTTGTAACTAAGAAGGTAAAACGACATTATAATTAGGAAAAATGCTCTAATTATCATGCATTTCCATGCACTATAAAAACCCAACATTAATGATGGTGAACACAAGTTGAACAAAGAGTTAAGTGTATCGTAAGTGTAATTAATACCAAAATACTATCCTATTTACTATTTTGACTTTTCACCTTCCGGTATTAACTTGACCATTGTAGGCGAAACTCCGTCAAATCGTAGCTTCTTTGTTTTACAGGTGTATTGACCTAGCGTGACATATTTGGTATTATAACTTTCTCAAGGGACATTAAAAAGACCCTGAAATATTTGGCGCTGTTTGTGGGAAAAGTACTGCTGAAATGACTCAAGACAGTTTTACACACACCCAATGTAGGTCCGGAAGTTCAAGTCGAGGACAATGTTGATATCGAGCAAGAAATGAAAGTTTATACCGACCCCAAAGACAACAAATCTAAGGGGAAGGCATGAGAAGGTCAATGGACTAAAGCCTATACGGCAACTGTACAAACAGGAAGAGTTTAATATGAAGCCAATGCAAATGAAAAGGCGGCATCAACGATCATTACCATG